GAGTACTTCAGCCAAAAGGTGCCTCCCATCAGCTTGGAAAATGATGCGCGGAAGGAGTTGCTCGTTTTTGTCACGGTACTCGAGCGTTGGCGACACTTCCTCCACGGCCGTCGTAGGTTCACGTGGGCCACGGATAATAACCCGTTGACCTACTACAAGACGCAAGACACGGTGAGCAGCATGATCGCTCGATGGATGTACTTCATCGACCAATTTGATTTCACACCAAAACACACTCCGGGCCTCTCCAACCGAGCCGCGGATGCTCTCTTGTGAAGATCAGATCTTTGCGCATTCACTCACCACGCATTCAGTTTCGACGACGCCCTTCATCAGCATTTTGTGCGAGCATACAATTCCGATCCGGAATACACCACGCTCTACGAGCAACTATCCTCGGATCACCCGCCGGCCAGCCACTATCGCGTCATAGACAGCTAGTTACTTCTTCACTCACGAGGCAGGGACTTACTATGCGTCTCAGACGACCGTCGCTTATGGACTCGCTTCCTCAGCGAATACCACGACTCGCGACTCGCGACTCGCCGGCCACTTCGGAGTCAACCATACGATCGCAAGACTTCGACAATGATTTTGGTGGCCCGACCTAATTACCAACGTCACTCGGTATTGCGACTCTTGCGAAGTTTGCCGATGAAGCAAACCCCGCAATCGCAATCCCTACGGCAAGTTACGCTTGTTGCCTATCCCGCGGGAACCCAGCCTCTCCATTGCTATGCACGTTACCGGTCCATTCCCCCGCGACCGCTTCGAGCACGACGACATTCTCATGGTCGTCGACCGTTTGAGCAAGTACGCGCGACTTTGCAAGTACTACACCACAACTCTCCCAAGCTTGCGCGACTCTTGCACACCGTCTGGATTTGCGGCCACGACATTCCGAAAGACATCGCCAACGACCAAGACACTCGTTTTATGTCGGCATTTTGGACTGCTCTCATGAAGGAGTCCGGCACCGAGATGAAACCGAGTTCGGCTCGGCATCCACAAACGGACGGGCAAACGGAGCGGGCACATCAAACCGCTCAAATGATGCTTCGTACGCTCATCCGTCCGGATCAGAAAGATTGGGTTGACCGCCTCCCCGACATCGAGTTCGCCTACAACACTTCGACGCATCCAGTGAGCGTCATGACTCCATTCAAGTTGCACCTCGGTGGCCGAAAACTTCGTATCCTCGCTGACCTCCCATTCCCACAGACTGTCGACATTGACGCCGCTTGCTCTCCCACCTCCGTTCGGAAGTATCGGGACTTGCTGGCTAAAGCCCGCGCCAACATGCAAAAGGCTCAAGTCTGCATGGAACAGCAAGCCAATTGGCGTCGCATGCCATGCCCAAGATGCCCCATCCGCGTCGGCGACCTTGTTTGGGTCTCCACGGAGGAGTTTGCGCTTGAACAAGACGTATCACACAAGCTACTTCCAAAGTGGTTTGGGCCATGGACCGTCACATCAGCCGCGGGCGATGAGCCCGATGGGCCTTCTTTTGTGATCGAAATCCCGCCGCATCTAACGGTCCACCCGGTCTTCCACGCCTCCAAGCTGTCCACATATAAACCAGCCAAGAGCAACGACTTCCTGGGCCAACGATCGCGGGACCCTCCTTCCATGGATGGTCATCAGGAAGTCGATTGCGTCATCACGCATCGCAAGCACGACAACAAGCCAATGCAGTACAAGGTCACATTCAGGTGTTGCGACCGCGACGACACGAGATGGATTTCACGAGCAGCCTTACAAGCCTCCGCACCACTTATCTACGCCGACTACGAGAAGAAACGGCTAGCCACGGAAGCTGCAAAGCCTGCCCCTCCCCCACCCGGACTTCGGTCCCTCCCTCCAACAGACAGCTTCGCCCTCACAAGTAAGCTCCGTCTTTCAAGGATGGTGGGGGGGGGGCATACTCAATTCCACACTGGCCCAGCAGGGCCTCACCAGGTAGGTTAGGGTTCCATAGAGTGTAGGGTCGGTGTCGTTTCGGCCCACAGTAGGGACCCGTAGGGTCCGTAGGCCAGTTTTAGGCCTGAGTAGGACCGGTACCAGTTAGAGGCCCTGTAGGTCTCATTTCGGCTACAGGCCCTGGCGCGCGTTTTGGCGCCAGACCCTGATTCAGAGGTCGCACCATTTCAGTAGGCGCTTGAGGCTCAGCCTCAGTTTGGGCGCCAAACTTTCGAGGCCCAGCCTCAATTTGAGCGCCAGACTCAGCCGCTGAGGTTGACCCAGCTCTATATATAGCTGGGTCCATCCTCAGTTCGGCATTGAGTAGAGGATGGAGTAGAGGTTCTATTCAAATGACAGCTATGTAGCGGTAGCCTTCCAGCGCTGGGCGCTGATAGGACTTAGCGCAGGGAGAGGAGAGAGACTGTAGTGGGGGCCAGGGGACTTACCTGAGACTTACCTGCGACGTCATCGCTCCAGCTTCATCTTCAGCACGTCTGTACCTGCATCAAGGCGCCACCTTTCGCAGGTCAGTGACTGGCATAGAGAGAGGGAGAGAGAGAGAGATCTTCTCCTTCTTCCTCCTCCAGTCCACCACCTTCTTCTTTCCCTCCCAGCGCTCTGACTTCTTCTTATCCGGCTATGTATGTGTGTGAGAGAGAGAGAGAGAGAGAGAGAGAGAGAGAGAGAGAGAGAGAGAGAGAGAGAGAGAGAGAGAGAGAGAGAGAGAGANAGAGAGAGAGAGAGAGAGAGAGAGAGAGAGAGAGAGAGAGAGAGAGAGAGAGAGAGAGAGAGAGATTGACAACATTTGGGATTCAGACTCGACATTGGACAGAGACGTTGGGGGAACTATTTGGGATTGACATCAGCGACATTTGGGTTGACGACATTCTCATCTCCTCCCCCCTCTTCTTCGTCTCTTCCCCCTCCTCCTCATCTGTGTATGAGCTAGGCCTGGCACCCTCGTCCTTGTGTGCGACGGCAGGCCATTCACACCGTGTGATGATGATGATGTATGTCCAGTCTGCATTTCCACATTGATTGGGTCTGGTCATTGGTATTCCAGTCTTCCGCTGTGCTATCTTGATCTATCTGTGAGAGGTCGGTTCTTGGTTCTGGTCTGTAGCATCTTGGTATGCGACAAGCGATGCCCTTTTTCTTTGGTATTGCTGCTTTCAGGATTTCCTAGATCAAATGGATAAACGAGATTCCCACTGTTCCTGTCTACCATCCTGCAAAAGCACCGCCGAGGCGGAAAACAAAGACACTGTGGACCTTGACTCTATAGTTCTACTCTGTGAAATGATTTGAGAGGGGTAGCGGGAAAAAAAAAAAAAACGGTTTCCTACTAAATAGGAAACTCCTAGATCAAATTGTCTATTCAAAGTTTCAAACCCACAAGTGAAGGATGGTCTGATCAGGATTTTTTATTTTTTTTTGAATTTTTTGAATTCCCTGCCCATACAACACAGATATTGCCAGCTGAGGGAAGTCTCCATGACTCAAGACAGTGCAGGTGATCTTGATAGCCTAGGCGGCAAGGGCAGATCTGGCGGGGAGGTGTATCCACGCGTATTGATAATTAAAAAATCCAACAAAAAAAAGTCAAAGGAAAACAACCATGGTTACCAACCGGACGTCCCGATCCAGACAGTCCGGTGTCCAGTGTCCGGGTCCGGTTGGACCCCGATTTCCAAAAATTCAAAAAAACTAATTGGGGTTCCCAGGCCGTTTACCTGGGCTTGGGGTACCCCGGAAAAATATTGCTGATGTTTTTTGAGAACCGGTACCCCAACCGGACAGGCCCTGAAAGGGCCCTCTGTGAAAAAAATTGAAACTTACGGGAGCACAGTAGCAGCCCCGCCAGAGGAAGGACACAATTTTTGAACAAGTGGAGGACACAATTTTTTGAATGTCGAAGCCTGGCAGCCCCGGTCGAAGAGTAGCAGCACTGTCGTTGAAGTTCCCCTTGCCGTGGGGGCTGGAGCGGGTGTGGAACTTTGCTGTGTGTGTGTGTGTGTGTTTGTGTCATGTGTGCCGGTTCAAGATTCCAAGTTCCAAACTTTGAGGTTGGGAGAACTTCGGGCGTTAATAAACTTAACATTTCCAATATGATTAATATTGAATTCATTAGCATGTCCGACCAGTCCCACAAACCTGTGTGTGTCTGTGTCCGGTTTTTTTTTTTTTTTTTTCCGGACAACCGGGCACCAACACAGCAAACCGGACTGTCCGGGTTCGGATGTCTGGATGTCCGGTAAACCGGACATCCGGTTTGATCCAGACATGGGTCCGCTGTCCGTGTCCGGTTGTGGTTTTATCCCTCAACCGTGTTTCCCCTCCCCCCCCTTCTCCTCCCCCTCTTTAAAGTTTACACACTTCAGATTCTTCAGAAGCTTAGAGTTTTATCCCTCAACCGTGTTTTTTTCGGAGTTTTATCCCTCAACCGTGTTTCCCGTTTGATCCACACACGGGTCCGGTGTCCGTGTCCGGTTGTCTGGTTGTCCGGGTCCGGGGCAACCATGCTTCTATCTCTCAACCGTGTTTCCCCTCCCCCCCCATCTCCTCCCCCTCTTTAAAGTTTACACACTTCAGATTCTTCAGAAGCTTAGAGTTTTATCCCTCAACTGTGTTTCCCCTCCCCCCCCTCTCTTCCCCGTCTTTAAAGTTCAAACACTTCAGATTCTTCAGAAGCTTAGAGTTTTATCCCTCAAGCATGTCTCCCCTCCCCCTCTTTTCATCCTCTGGGAATGCGACATGCTCTGGGATTGTGATCGTTCCAATATAGTCAACGGCGTTCTTTTTTTTTTCTCCATTCTGGGTTTTCTTTTTCTTCTCTCCCCCCCCCCCCCCCCCCCCCCGGCCCCCGGGCCCCCTCTTCAACCTCAAATTTTATTTTTAGCAAGGGGCTACCCATCTTCCCCTGAACACACCGCGCCCCTCATTATGGCTGTACCTGACTGGGAAGATAGCTTCTGTACATTCACTATCAGGATGCGTTATGTTCGGGGGAGAAGACGGTGGGAGCAGGAGGGAGGTACCTTGGACTGTCTAGCATTATCCCAAAAGGAGAGGAACGCAAATACAAGAAGAACGCTTGGAAGGAAAGCGCCTATCCAAGCCGCAAGGGCACCGAGAAAACCTGCGTAGGGAAACGGTTCAAATGTTGCGCCGTGCAGTTAAATGTTAGTTGGTTACTGAGCAAAGCAATGATGATCTTTTTTTTTTTTTTTTTTTATAGTCCGACCAGAAGAAGAGAAAAAAGCAAAAAGAAAATTGAAGGAAAAAACAAACAAACAGAAAGGTTGATAAGAGTGGCAATCCTTTGGAGGGAAATGTTGTGAATTAGGAATTGTGAAAAAAAAAGAGTCAACCAATGAACATCAACACAACTGAAAATATCACTTTCATTGGACAACCAAATGAGAATGCATGCCGTAAGTGACATGCAAGCTTGAAAAACATTACAACAACCGGTGGGAAAAAAAATGGTGTACCATCATAAACAGTTTTTCTTCCCTCCCCTTCCCCCTCCCCCCCAAAAAGGATGATGAACTTGAGATATCACCATCGAACTGACCAGCCCCAGGTAATTGAGAAGTAGTTTGTTCTGTTCATCTGATTGCTTGTGGATTCGAACACAGGTCTGTATTTCAACAGTTCAGGGGTGTACCGACAGAGCTACCGTCTTCACCGAAATAGAACGCCCAGACACTAAAGCTGTATTCGGGGCAGCATTCGGCCCGGATGCAGCCATAATGACCGTGTGTTCTATTCGGGTGAAGACGATAGGCCCATTTTTTGTACCACACAGTTTAGTTACTTATCCAAAGAAACAATGTTGATCTTGTTTCTTTTTGTTTTTTGAAGTCTGGCCAGGAGAAGAGGGACAGAAGAAGAGGGGGGGGGGGGGGGGGGGGGGGGGGGGGGGGAAGGTTGATAGTGGCCGTATTTCGTGTGCAGGGCATGGGAAAACGACAATCCTGGAATGGCCGGTAGCTCAGTGGGTGGAGCACTGGTTGGAAATGTGCATTGTGGTATAAGGTTGTTGGTTCAAAACTCCACAGCCTTGCGCATGGACACCGGCGGGCGTTGACCAACGCACGGCCATTCACACACTCCCTTTGGGCTGACGCATGGTAATTCTTACAGACACTGCCTGCGCACCACCCAAGGGGTTAAGTGCATGGTTGTAGTATGCTGGTAGCGGACCTTGGGGGAGGGCTGTTTGAGTGGTTGGCCTTGGGGTGGTCCGATGAGTGTGTCTGTGTGTGTGTGGGTTGTGTGTAGGTTGTGTGTGGGTTGTGTGTGGGTTGTGGGTGGTGTGTGGTCCAATGATCTCTGGGTCATGTCTCGTGTACTCACCATGGGCGGGGTAAAGAAGTTAGGTTGGGTAGAGGTCTTAGGTCTAGATTAGGTTAGGTAGGAATTGTGTAGAGATTGTGGGCCTGTCTGTGTGCGCCGCCTCGTTCGTATGGACTGCTCTGTGGGTGTGTCATGGGTGTGTCTGGGTACCATAGTAGTTTCCCGGCCTCATAGTACACCCGCCAGAGTCCATACTTACATTGTACGATACAGCTCCCGGTCCGGCTCCGCTCTCTACAACCCCCTTGAGTAGTGGTAAGGGTTGGGTGTTGGGCATATACGATTCCCAAGGGCGCGCCTCATGTCTATCTTACGATGCTTGCGGGCTGGGCTTCATCCGGGTTGGTACCTGTCTGCGTTCCCATTGAGTGGGGTCGACTGGGGCGTGGAGCTGGGGAAGGGTCTCTGGGTAGAGGCCTCACCTTCGGCAGGGGAGGCTGGGTTGTCGCATTGATAGTGGAAGGGTGTTAAACACCCATAGAGTCTGCTAGATGTGGTACAGGTGTGGAATGACCACATATCTGTGAACCCTCCTGTGTCCGGGTCGTCCTCAAAAACTCGGGGCGTCCCTATGGTAGTGCCCGGGGGATCTTCATCTGAGACCCTCCGAAGGCGCGGGTTGGTGTATGTCTAGGTCTAGAGACAGGTCTACGTCGCACCGCTGCAGGGCTTGACTTGCGATCTGATTAGGACAACAAGAAGTTCACATATGATGCCCCCTGGAGGAGACTGTCCTTGGGGCTGTCACAAGCCATCTGATCTCCCCACTGGTCAATACAATGAAAGGCACCTCCCGAGGCTTTGTGTATGCTGCTTTTCTGTGTGTCCGAGTTTGAACCCAATGACTGATGTATGCTACATTAGTCCACGCACGAACCAACGTAGCAATAGTACTACGGGTGTGTGAGTGCGACCTATTTACCTCCACTACCTTTAACCTTTCTGTGTGAGTGCGACCTATTACCTCCACTACCTTTAACCTTTCTCCTTCCTGAGTGGTGTGCTTCGTGTATGCTGCTTTTCTGTGTGTTCGAGTTT